GTGTGAGACCGTCTCAAAAAAACAAAACAGGGCCAGGGATTTAGCTCAGTGCTTTGGTGGCCTGCCTTGCAAGCGCAAGGACCCGAGTTCAATCCCTGGTACCAAAAAAATGCAAACAAACAAACAAACAAAAAAACAAATAAACAAAAAAATGAGTGGTTACCCTTGAGACACAAACTAGACTAACTACAAAGTCTTAAGGATAGAACAATATACAAAGTCATACGGATAGAACAATGTATCTATAATTGATGACAAAGGTAATAAGAGTAGAATTAGCCTTTGGGTGATAACCTTCGTAGCTGAATTTACCTTACTATCTACATTTATACATGTTCAAAGTCCCCTCCCATAGTAAAGCTTAAGAAATTATAGTAAACATGATTACCAATATTAGAGAATGCCCTTAAAATCCAAGAACAACAGAAGGAGGCCAAGTCTCCTTTATTTATCTTCATTCTATCAGCCAGGGCCAACATACCAAAATTAAGCAAAACTAAACAACTAAAAAGAAGCAAAACTATCACTTTTTTCCTTGCTATTGTTATGTTTATAGAAAAACTAAAGGAAAAAAACCAAAAACTGCATGAAAAAAAGTCATTATGTAACAAGTAGGATGGTTATAAAAATCAATATACCAAATGTCATTTTATTTCTGTCAGAAAATATAATTTAAAAAATAAACAGCCTTTATAGTATTTTCAAAAAAATGTAAATTATCAAAGAATCTAACAAAAATGTGCATAAGACCTTTTTGGAGAAAACAAATATAACTGGAAGACATTAAAGAAGATCTAAAGAATTTTTATGGATGGAGATCATTTATTGTAAAGACATCAAATTCTCTCAAAAACATGATATTCAATGTAATTTTGCGTCTCAGTTTTCTGGTGCAAGCTGACTAGCTAATATTAAAAATGACACGGGATAATAAAGATCCAATAATGGCCACATTCCTGAAGAATGTGGCAGGTGAGTGTGACACAGCAAACACCAAGATTTCTGTATAAATCCACACACACAATTTTCCTGAATTTCCATATGGGTATATTTTCAACTTAACTGCATTTTGGCTAAAGGTATGCTCAGCAGTAAAATACTGAAATTCTCAAAAAGAAAATATCTAGAGCAACTGATCTGGTCCTTACCACCTTCTTAGGAACCTAAATGCCAGTGCTTT